TGCCGGCACTTTGTTCTTCTCCTGTTATGTTCAGTCTCTGGTCTCAGCCCGTGAGGTGGGAGGCACATCTAAGGCAAGTCTTTCTTTACTTTTCTGGAAACACACTCATCAACATACTCAGAATTGTATTTCCATGGTGATTCTAAATCTAATCAAGTTGACAATAAAGATCAATCATCAGAATACTGTGTACATTAAATTACAGGTAAAGAGTTTTCCCAGATCAGTTTAGTTTAAAGAGAGCATTTGGGAGAGGGGTATGAAAAATCATATTTAAAATGGTTACTTAAATTATGTGGTTTCTATTTTGCATAAGAATTCACTCCCAAGAATAAATGTACTCCTTAAGAATATAAATTAAGGGGCTGTGCACTTGAGAGCACTGGCTGCCCTTCCAGAGGAACTGGGTTTGATCTCCCAACACCCACATGGCAGCTCACAACTCACTTGTAATTCTAGTTTCAGGAGATCCAGTGTTCTCTCCTGGCCTCCAAAGGTACCAGGCATGGATGTAGTACACAGACACACATGCAGACAAAACCCATTCATATAATAAAATACTTTTTAACAAAATAAATTCAGAAAGATATATGTAGAATGTAATGGAAAGAAAAGATCTTAAAAGACAGGGTAATAGAAAAATATTACTCTTCAAGGTGATGTTAGTAGATTTGAAGTCATAATGGTTATATACAGATGAAGTATTTTTAACTTTTTAAAAGTATTTTTTATTGTAGCATTGAATTGATAGATATTTTTGGTAGATTTATATTAAACCAGAATCCTGTAAAGAACTTGGAAGTAATTAGGGTGTTTAATTTTTTTATATATTGTTTATAAAACTCACTATTTCCTCCAGAACCCTGGGATGAATCCCGTTTTGCCCTGGAGTTGTTCCCACGCTGGCAGTTCCCACGCTGGCAGTGGGTTTGCCTCACACACTGTCTCATGTGCAGCAGACCAGGCTCCTAGTAGTTTGCTCCTCATAGATTTTACATGTACATAAATCTGTTCAGACCAATTACAATTCCCTATTTTTATACTTACCTCATTCCTGTACTTTTTTTCTGGTCCTATTTTCTGGGTCTTCTCTTGTTTTTGCTTTCTCCTTAGTTCAGTTAAACCTGATACTTGACATTGCCATGAATTTTGTTTCACTATATCTGAAGCTCATACGGAAATATCCAGCCTCAGTTGGTCTTTTTATATTTAATTCTTTAAATTCTAAAAAAAAATCTACATGAACGTGAATCCCTTGCTTTCTGCTTCTTTTTCCACAACTCATGTTTCCTTTTTCCATGTTTCCTTTTACCCAGCTCACATTTATAGCTTCGCAGTTTATCACCCATTATCAACCCTTTCTCTCCCTTGGTGTGTTTCTTGATTTACATTGCTCATAGTAAAAGTAGTTCTCTAACATGGACCTGTAACCCCTATACTCAGGAGGCTTAGTCAGAAGGGGCCCTGAGAATTGAAGGCCAGCCTGATCCACACAGCCAAGTTCTAGTTGGCCATTTTCTTAAAATCTCGCCTTGATCCCAGCATTCAGGAAGCAGAGGCAGGCAGGTCTCTGTGATTTCAAGGCCAGTCTGTCTACAGCAGGAGTTCAAGGACAGTCACTGCTACATAGAGAAACCCTGTCTCAAAAAAATCACCAAAAGGAAATTGTAGTTCTCTTTTTTGTTTTAAAAGAACAATCTTCTTGAACATAATTCAAGAATTATATGAATTGGTACTGACTCCACTGAGTTGCCCAAGCACCTAGAAGTAAACATTTTTGCATGCAAGGATCCCATCTAAAGTTTAGAAGGAACACTTCATGCAAACTATCATAACAGGTATTGCTATGTATGTCACTGTGGACTTACCCCTTTATTTAAATTAATTTTCTAGGGCTGGAAGTATAGTTCACTGGTGGTAAAGTACTTGCCTAGATGTTTTGAAGTCATGGGCTCAATTTCCAACAATAAATTAGTAAAAATAAAATAAAATTAAGGTTTAGGTTACTTAAATATAAGAGAATATACAAATACTTCCACTTTCTATTCCAGCTGTAACAAAGATAAGACTTGTCTCTTTTTTTTTTTCAAGACAGGGTTTCTCTATAGCTTTGGATTCTGTCCTAGAACTAGCTCTTGTAGACCAGGCTGGTCTCAAACTCACAGAGATTCGCCTGCCTCTGCCTCCTGAGTGCTGGGATTAAAGGCGTGCGCCACCACCACCCGGCTTGTCTCAAAATGTAAACTGAGCCGTGCCTTTAATCCTAGCACTTGGGAAGCTGAGGCAGGAGGATCTTGATAAGCTCTTAGTGACTTACTTAGCAATGCCTGCTCATGTTACTCTGCGGTCTCTATGTAGATGATCTAGGTTAGCCTTGAATTGAGATTCTCCTACCTCAGCTTCCCAAGTGCTAAAATTATAGGCCTAGCTCAATTTACGTTTCTTTCTTGAAACGGGTTGATATCTAGTACTTTCTGGAAGGCAACACAAAAACACTTTCTATTACCTTTTTGTCTTTTTTACAGTGCTAGGGACACACCTCAGGTCTTGGGCATGCTAAGCATTGCTCTGTCATTGAGTGACATGTCTAGCCCAATTTCCGTTATCTCCATATGAAAAACAAACTAGATTTTGGACTAATGGACTAGCAGCTGCTGCTTTCTTTTTCCTCTTTTAGGAACACTAAGTACTCTGGCTCTGACAGACGTGCTTTTATATGATACCTACCTATGAAAAGCTAAGGCTGACACTAACATTGTCCCAGTCCACTTCACATCCTCAGCTTTCAGACGGGAGCATGGCTATGGCATGTAAACCGTCCTCCACCATTCGCTCTAGTTACGTAGGACTGGGAATAGTTCCTGCTGTTGTGTATCTTGTGCCTCAGAATAAAGTCATTTGTAGAATGGCTTGACACATAAAAATCTCTTAAAATGTTCAGATTTCTCTTGCTTTCTTACTTGAAGTTATGATAATGTCAATTTCCTACAGTGTAAAATCCACTTAGTAATATTTGAGAATCAAAGGAAAAATACAAGTTATATTTTTCTAGTGTTAACTTCCTTTCAGAGGAGGGCTGGAGGTGGCGGCACACAGCCGTAACCCCGGCACTCTGGAGGCTAACACAGGGTGGAAGAGCTCACAGACTGCACAGTGAGTTCCAGGCCTGTTTCCAAGAGAAAACGCTTCACTTGCTGCATATTCAGAGATGTAGAGTGAACAGTAGATATTGCAGTGTACTGCTCTGTATAGTAATGCCTTTTCTTTAATAGTAAGAACAAAACTAAGGAAAGCTGTGTTTTTTTATCCTAAACTAAAAGATTTTCAGTTTTAGATATTTAATAGAAATTCCTGAGTTACCTGAGTACCGCCCCTTTGCCCCTGCTAGTAACCCAATGATTTTTTTTTCAGGTTATCAAATTTAGTCATCACAGAAGTTTGGTACTAATATTTTCTAAGCCAAACAAGAATTTATCATTCTTCTATTATCTATTGATTCACCCCTTCCCAGTCAGTCCTAGTTGGTTTTTAATACTCTTCTGACCTCAGAAATGGTCGCTCTTAGTCATATAAAAATCAGTGTTTAGAAAAGTAGGGTATTATCATTAACCACTTACTGTAATTTATCTTCAATTTCAGGTTTCACGTTGTTTTTGCTCTTTCTAGTTCCTAATAAAATAGTTACTGCAGATTTCTAGTGGAGGTTTTTAAAAGGAATTTGTTTCATTAATTATAATCTCTTTCTATAATCTAATATTAAATTATAATTTAATAAACATTTTTGTTATAATGTACATCTACTTTGACTTTATTACCATACATTTGATAATATCGTGCTAGTTTTGTTATAAGGTGATTTCATGGCTCAACAGTTAGAGCACTTGCTCCTCTAGGGGATCTGAGGCCTCTGACTTCCATGAGCACCTGCACTTATGTACACAGATACACACACACCTACACTTAATTAAAAATAATAAAAATTAATTGTTGTTTTGCTAATAACTAGCGGTGACATTAATTGAATAAAACCAAAAGTTATTCAAGATTGGCAAGATGGCCCAGTGAGTACACGCACTTGCTGCTGAACATGCAGACTTGAATTCATTTCCTGGGACCCAGATGGCAGAGAGAGAACAGACCCCTGCCAGTTGTTCCTGCATGCACACACAAAATAAATAAATGTAAAAATGGTTTGAATTTGAATTTAAGAATTATACAGTTTGGGCTAAATTATAATTTATGAGTATATAATATTAGGACTTCTTTAGATTTCAGAATTTATTGGCTTATGGCTTCAGAAAGCACAAAGAGCTTACCAGATACGAGGTTTTGTGTGTTTTTAACTCTGAGCCATAGAATAATGACTACAATGTGTTCTGTGGCTCTCAGTTCTCAGTGTCAGAAGTTGTGTAATACCAGTGTAGGCCACAAGGTGGGAGTGAAAGGCAAGGACTTGTATTCAAACAGCTCAGATACATACTACGTTATCTTTATAAGCCTTGTAGATGCTTATTAGATAAAGCAGGAGCTGTAGTTTGGTTACTTCTTGTGTTACAGTTGCATTTCTTATTTTAAAAAAAAAACTATAACAAAGACAAGGGCATTGATTTACATTTATAGGCCATTATTAATGAATACCAAAGGACAAAGTGTCAGAAATATTTTGCCCCTAAATTCCTGGACATAGAAGTGCTTGGTGATTAGAGTAGTAATTTTGATTAACTGCATACGAAAAATTTCTTTAATTACCATTAGTAGAGAAAATAATCAAAGAAATGACTGAAAATTCTTTATTTTTTTTTAATTTTCATTTCCCTTGATCTCATTTAAAGAAAAAAAAAGAACCTATTGTGTTTTTATGGATACACAAAACCTCTTGTACTGTGTGTAAGAGAGCACACACACATTAATGTGATTGGTTTTAATTAGGTAAATGCTGTATTGTGTTTTCCCGTTTGAGTTTGGAAGCATGTAAAATGATCATTTCTTATCCTTCTAAGGGGAGAAGACAAGTTTCTTCTGGAAAAGAGCCCTCAGCGGATCTCAGCCTCCCTTCACATCATCACAGGTGCTTCTAGAACCTTTGCCAACTCAAGACTTAAACAAATTTAAATATGCAATATTTTGTATGTTTTAAAAATTTTTAGCAATTGTAAAATAAAAAAAATAGTTGTTAACCCCTGAAGTGAACCCACATGTGAAAATGACCTAACTGCTCATATGGTTATAGTAGAACTAGATCTGCAAGCTGGCTTCTCTGACAGTCCCCGATTTCAGCAGCCTGTATCGTGGCTGTATTGTTGGATGTGATGAATCCTGATGTGAGCCAGAGTGAAGAGTAATTAATACTCTATTCATAATGCTTATGGAGAAGGGGTAGATACACTAACGTGCAGGGCAAATGAACTAGACCTTTTATCATTTGTTTTGTGCCTAGCTTTTCAAATATTAGAATTGTTTTTAACATATCTTCTACAAATTTAAATTTTAGTTTTAACATTTAACCTTTCTATAATTCTGTGACCCATAAAAACTATACTGTATATATTTAATTACAATAAAAATTATTTTAATTTATAATCTTACATTTTAAAATATTGATTTGTTTTTAGGGATAATATAGAGAAGACTTTCTGGGACCTTAAGGAAGAATTTCATAGGATATGCTTGCTAGCAAAAGCACAGAAAGACCACTTGAGCAAACTTAATATACCAGATATTGCAACTGGTAAGATTTAATTTATCTTATAGTAATTTTAATTGTATTGGTTGAAATCATTTAATTTTTAGTGTAAAAATACTTTCAAATGCTTATGAAAGACTAATAATCTGCATCTTGCCCCTTATAGTTGAACAGATGTATGCTGTTAAATTCTATGCTATGCATTATAGAATCTTTGCTTTTTCACTGTTTTTTTATTGTATATGGTACTGTGTAGACCTAATTGAATAGCCTAATTACCAATCAGCTTAATGAGAAGTACCATCTTTAAAATATAGGATACATCTCTCTATATTTTTTTTTATTTGGGGGTCATGTTAAACAGTAACTCACATGTCACTAAGTGACCTTAAAGCAACACTACTATATCTGAACTGACTAAAATTATAACATCACCCTTGTTTATAAGCAAGTTCTGACCGAAATGTCATTAAACACTACTTAGAGTTTCTGATGATGTAGTTGAAGAATGAAAATGTGGAGTGCACATTTCCTTAGACCCACTTCTCTTGGCAGCACAAAGTAAAAACTGAGTATAAAATGCCATCTAGGAACATCTGTGCGTGCATGTGTGTGTTGGTTTTTTGGGTTAGTTTTGTGTGTTGTGTGTGTGGTTTTTTTTTTTAAGCTCCAGACTGGAATCTTTGTAGTTGCTTCAATAGTTAAATATTAATAACAAAATATCAGAAATTAAGTCTAGCGTCCGGACACATCAGTAAACAGAAAGTAAAGTGATGGTTTAGAATGATGGTTCTGTTTGTCCTTGTGGTCTGGAATATCCTCCAGGCAGTTCCCTAGTGATAGAATTTACAGTCTTCACTCTGAGAGATGTCGCAACAATGATGACCAGCATGTCCTTCATTTCTGTGGCTCTCACATAATAATGTTTAAAATCACTGATAGCGAAAGTTCTCTTTTTGCCACTACCTGCATTTATTTCCAGTAAATGGTGAGGGGCAGGAAAACAGCCTTTGTATATAGACATACTTTGTGTGTCCCTGCTTGTCAATCTTCCTATCTTTTCAAAACGTACTCTCAATTTCTCCATCTTCATGTTTGTAATGTTCATGAAAAATTGTTCTTTTCCACACACTGAAGATACTAGAAATCAGCAGTCTCACTTGAAATAGGCTAGCTGTGTCTAGACTTCATAAGCACGCTCTTTGAGCATCAACATCTTATCAAAACATTGTAATAGTGATATAGTCTTTGTTATGCAGAGAACATAACCCATTATCAATTATTTAATACTTTGACCATTTTTAAATTGCATAAGTCTAACTCTTAGTGTGTATCTGTCAACCTGAACACTGAGTGTTTAACTTCAGTTTCTTCCTCAAGAAAGCTGCTCAACATTAGTCTTATGCTTTATGTTAACTGTGTCACAAGTAGTGCGTAAAAAAATCGTTACCCTTGAAATATTTGAGATCTGTATTCAATTGAATAAAGCTTTGCTTGGTTCAAACAAAACACAAAATGTTAAGTATTATGCCCTGACAGTATAGCTTTATACTGTCTCTTACTGTCTATTTGGAAAAGGAATGAAGACAGAAACACACCATGCAAGGTTTCAGTACATGTGTTCTTACCATGTCTCTTCTGGTCATTCTCAGGGTAGTAACCTTGAGAAAGGATCAAGATAGAGCTGTGTGTCTAAGCAAATATTTTCTAGTGAAGAGTTACTAGTCTGAAGAGTTACTAGTCTAAAAGCAGGGTCCCATTTCATTTTCCATTGGGCAGGAATATAGGATTGGGGTATAGACAATCATTAGCTCTTTTGTCAGTAGTCTGATCAGCCTATATATAAATTTGGAAATTAAAATTTTTCATTTTACTTGTTTTCCATGCAAAAGTCAGTTTTATTGAAACAAATTGTGAAGGCTACATGTATGCTCACTGGCATGTGTGGTATTGGGGTGTGGTATTGGGGTGACAGGTGTTTTCATGAACTTTGATCTTTATCTAAGCTCAGACTGCTGATAGGCTTACTCCTCTTAGTTTCTACTCTTACCACATGTACAGATCAACTCTAGTTAATTTAATGTGGCTAAGCTCATATACCAACTAGCTATTCAAAGAAAATGTCTGCTTCCTTATTACAACTGATTGATGTGTCCCTGTCTTCTTTGAAGGGGGTTAGGTCAGCTGGTAAGAAAGTCACTCTAAGCACAGTTTTGCCAGCTTGATCCTCTCTGTAGAAACCATCATGTTCGATTTAATGTAATGGTTTTGAGGACACTCCCGAGTTGATTACCTGGGTTTTAGTGCCAGATTCAGCACTTGCTAGCTGCACAATCTTGGAAGTAGCCATGGAATTAACCTCCCCGTATCCATCCCTTCACATGTAAATTAGAGATAATAATAGTGCCTGAGTTGGCGTTACTTTGAGTATTAAGTAAATTAATGTACATACCACAGTTAGTGCATGGCACATGGAAGTGCTATCAGTGTTAATAGCCGTTGCCATTAGCAGCAGCTGCGATTCTAAAGCATTTACCTTGTTCTCCTGAAAAATCGGTTGAGAAGTTATTCTTTCTCAGGTATTGCTGAATTTTATTCCTGTTTCCTAGTATTTCCTGCCACCCTCAAATATACTACCAAGAAAACTGACTACTTGAGAGTGAATGGACTTTGTCAACCGCAAAGGTCAAATAAATTCAGCAAAAAAATTGAGTTTGGTCTCAGTTACTTATTATACTGTTCCTAGTCACAGCCAGAATAGCTAGTAAATGTGGCTTATAATTCTAGATCCTATGAGGAAAAGAATACAGTATCATATGTGTGCCAGGCAATAGGTGAGACACCTGGGTAAGTAGGGAACAGAACATGGTTTCAGATGTCATAGAAACTTGCTTTAATGGGGGAAGAGAAAACTACTTACAAATATAAGAGTGTTCAGGCCTCAGAGCACCTAAGCATCATGGGAGAGACATTCAGAGAATCAATGTCTAAGTCAAAGTGGGAAGGACAAGTAAGAGTTAGGTGAAGAACTACGCATAGTAGTGCCTGTAGCCACCACACTAGCAAGACTGGGACTGGAGAACAGAGTTTGGGGTAAACCTGGGTGTCATAATGAGGTAGTCTGAGGGAGAGAAAGGGGGAGATGTGTAGGTGTATATGCAGAATGAACTAAAGGTGGAGGCATTGTACCACACATCATATCCAAACAGAAGGCTTTTTGTGTTAGAATGTACTATGGCAACAGATAAGAGTCATAAAACCCCAAAGATTAGAAAAATTTAAAGAAATTGCCATTTGTTGAGTACCTACTAACATAGACTGTGGAAGGGGCTTTGTATGTCCTGTACTTTTATGCCTGCTTCCTTGGTAAATCTTCATTTGTGAATGGAGGGCCTGACTAATGACAATTTGTCCATTGAATAAAATAAATTGCGGTACTGCACACTTGTAATTCCAGCCCTTGGGTAGTAGTGTTGGAATGGTCAGGAATCCAGTGCTAACCTCACTAATTCAGAAATGTTGAAGGGGCCACTTGTTTGTCCCAGACGCACTGCTTGGCCCATTAGCTCTAGCTTCTTATTGGCTAACTCTTATATTAATTTAACCCATTTCTATTAATTAATCTGTACATCTCCACATGGCAGTGGCTTACCAGCAAAGCTCTGGCACGTCTACCTCTAGCCATGGATTCATGACATCTCTCTGTCTCTGCCTTCCTCCTCCCAGAATTCCGTTTAGTTTTCCCCACCTAGCTCTGTTCCCCTATAGCTCTGCTATAGGCCCAAAGCAGTTCCTTTATTCATTAACTAATGAAAGCAACACATAGGCAGAAGGACCTCCCACACCACAGAAATTCCAGACTATCCTGAGTTTCACGAGACCCCGTGTCAAAGACAAAAACAAACAACCAAATATACTACAAAGCACAGTTGCTTTTTGCAGTGGCATGGTAGAACCTAATTTTGTTTTTCTAATATTTCAGGATCATAAACATGGACTATGCTTTGATAATTGTTGTGTGTGTTTGGTTTACTTTGATACTGTGAAAACAGCTCTTGCTGGCTCTTTATTACACTGTGGCCTTTGGTTTATTTTTTTAAGATTTAATTTTAATCTTGTGTATGTGGGTATCTGCATGAATGTGGGTGCCTGTCAAGGCCAGAGATGTAGGATTCCCTGAAAGTGGAGTAGCAAGTGGTTGTAAGCCACCAGGGTGAGTCTGAACTTCAGTACTCTGGAAGGTATGTGCACTCTTATCTCTGAGCCATCTTTTCAGTTCAGTACTATGGCAGTTTCTGAATTCATAAGTCTCCATTTTTGTTTTGCTTGCCTCCTCCCATACTGCCAGCATTTGCTGACTTTTTGTCTTTCCATAACAGCTTGTATCTCATTTAATTTGCTGTGATCCCTGTCATTCTGACTGGTTCCTCAGAAGTTCTCCTTGCCAGCATCTGACTATAACCTAGAGATCTTGTTGGAGAAATAACTTCTAGATGAATGAGCTAACACAGCTCTGATGCCCACCCCACATCTGCTTGTTAGTGAAAGAGGCCTTTTCAAATATGAGAAAATTACATATACATATATTTTTACTTTTTTTGAGACTGTGTCTTACTATATAACCCTGGCTGTCCTTGAACTTGCTATGTAGATCAGGCTAGCCTGGAATTCACAAACAAACACCTGCCTCTGCCTTTTAAGCGCTGGGACTAAGGGTGTGCAACACCGCACTCAGCCATATTCCCATGTAATTCCTTATAGTGCATCTCAGAATGTCAACCTCTTTTGCCTCCACTGTCTTCTTCTTTCCTGACCCTTGCTGGCACCACCGACTGTAGACAGTGATTAAACTGGTTAGAGTTATACTTAATAACACACTGATATTAGCGGAAATGAATTAACTAATTCATGTAGTAAATAATAATAAATGCCCTCATTGTGTGTGTGTGTAAGCTTACAGTTGTAGCTCTGTTACAAAGTAAATATATATGCTGCAGCATTTTTGTAAGTGTAAAGCAGTGTAACTGAGAACAAGATGCAAAGCTTATAGCAGAAGACCTAGGAGAAGACAAAGCAATTAAGTTGCAGCCTGTATGCTGTGCTCAATTCACCTGCAGGGGACCGCTGTTGTCCTCATGGAAGATGGGAGCAAACATAAAAATATCAGTTGTCTTCAGTTAGTATTTAAACCAATAGAAAAACAATAGTCCTCTGCCTAACGCTGTTTCAGCTATTTTTTCAATGATTTGAGTGTGACTATTTCCCTTCTGTATCCTTTTTCCTGCAGACACACAGTGCTCTGTGCCCATACAGTGTACTGATAAAACAGATAAACAAGAAGCGCTGTTTAAGCCCCAGGCTAACGATGGTATAAACAGAAGTGCACCGTGTATCGCATCTGTTACACCAAGAGGACTGGGCCGAGATGAGGAGGACACCTCTTTGGAATCTCTTTCTAAGTTCAATGTCAAGTTTCCACCCATGGACAGTGACTCTGCTTTCTTACATAGCACTCCAGAGACACCCAGCATCCTTAGTCCTGACACATCTGAGGCTGTGCGCCAGGACACATTTAATATGGAAGGCAGAGACAACCCAGGAAACTTTGGTAAAACAGAAGAAACTTTATTTGAAATTCGGGGAATTGACCTCATGACTTCAGCTATACAAAACCTTAAAACAACTGACAAAACAAAACCCTCAAATCTTAGAGCTCCGTGTTTGCCAGCTGGAGACCATAATGTGTTCTTCCCACTTCAGGACCCGCCTGATGCACCTTTTCCCTCACTGGATTCCCCAGGAAAAGCTGTCCGAGGACCACAGCAGGTAACTGTTTTGCATTAACAAATATTTTATTATGTGTGAACACACATTTTGTCATACATGCACAGATATGAATCTCTTTTAAGTTATCAGACATCCATTTTAAATTAATGACTATCCAGAGTTGAGGCTTTCAGTAAAATATGTAAGTTCTGTAATAAAGGACATGAATTTTAAATATGAGTATGATAAAGCTCTGTCGTGGTTTATGGCATGACTTTACATGCTTGGTCCTTCAGTCACAGCTTGTTTTATATCGGTATTCTAGTGGATGCTTTATTAGATCTGATAATTTGAACCAAATATTAAAAATTACACATATACATAATAACATGTAATTTTCCATATGTAGGTAATTGCACCAAATATTCAGGATAAACTGTCTTTCAGTCTGCTTGTTACATTCTCAGTTACAGTAGACCATAGGTCTGCAGGGTTTAGTGTGGTGGCTAACCTGACACTAAATAGACATCCTCATACATTTCTCAAATAATGAGTTATTTCAAATGTCTTGTATGAGTGAGTTGATCAAATGTCTGTTTACTGTTTGTGAAGCACGAAGGTTTTATATAGCCCGTGAGTCTACCTATAGACTATAGTCCACCTAACCACCCTGTCTTTCAGATTAAGGTTCTTTCACAGAAAGATTCTTTTTGTTAGGGAGAAAAATAAGTTTTGTTTAATTCCTGAAGGCAAATGAAAAGTATATAAACGTTAAAATAAATAGAAGCTTGTAGGAGAAAAAAAATCCTCATTAGAACTTTCAGACGTTTGATTTTCTTTCATTAAAAAAAAAAGTCCTTTGGCTTTAAGTATGCTTAGCAGTTATAGGCCTTAAACAGCATGTGCGGGAGCAGGAGTCAGACTGGAATATGTTTCAGTAGTAGGTAAAACTAGGGACCATGACAAGTCTTAATTATTAACTCTCTGTGTTCTGTCCTGCACCTTGTTTCCCATCACGGTCTCAGCTATCGCTGCTGCCCAATGAAACAATTAAACAATTTCATTTCTTGTGAGTAGAGTTCCTGTGGAGCTGTGAACTGCATCCGTTCTAATGCTTGTTACTCTCCCTCCGCTCTCTCTCCTGCTTGTTCTTTTCCTCGTCAGTCTGTGCGTTCATGTTTCAGTAGATGGCACCCTGCATTGTACGTTTACTTCAAACTGCAGCAAGAGAAACAGCTGCTGTGTGACTGCAACTGATGGAAAAGTATTCAGCTTAAAAATGCAAGAGAGTTGGTGTTGAGCTGGCACAGGACATGGGCGCAAGGTTAGAGCATAGATAGCTTGGCAGAAAGAGCGAAGAGATTGGTCTGATTTAAAGGCCAGTTACAGCTCTCATCTGCAAACATACTTACTTAAAGGAGTCTTTTTAAACATCATTCTCTTGTATTAATGAATCTCATGGGTACAAATAGTAAGAAAGGAAGTTTTGGTTACTTACTTTGTTTTTATTTGATATTAATCATTACTAACAAATATGTATTTTTCACTTCAGCTCTCATTGTAAAGACTAAAATATATATCAGCTTATTTTTGTTCTGCATGATTTTCTTTTTTTTTTTTTTACTTTTGCTGAGTCAGTAATTGGGGTTCCAATTAAATTCTAAGAACAGACCCAATCTGAACCAAAAGCTACTGTCAGATTTCAAAAGTAAGTTGTCAGTGGAAGATTGGCTTTTGTGATTTAGGAACTGACTCACTTTTAAGCTAATTTCTTACTGTTTTATAAATCTTAATTTAAAAAATCTTTAAAGTAGTTATTTCATTACTAGCCACGACGGTTTTAGATTAGAGTATTTTTTTACTTTTTCCTTAAACTACAGCCAGTAACGTTTGAATCTAATCAACTCTTAACTAATTTCCATTTATAATTATTACTGCTTTTCTTTCATCAGGAAAATTTGTCAACAAAAAAATTCCTTTGCCCCAAACTTTACAAAATTTATTTTAAATATTGCTAGTTTTGTTGCAGCAAACACTTCCCATGAAAATAAACTGAGTCCACATTCTAAGGTGTCTGCACTAACTCCTGAATGTGTCTTGCTACCTAAGCAGAGCTTATATATTGAACCCTGTGCAGCCGTGCTCTCTGTTAAATAGTGATGCCTTGAAACCCAGATACACGATTAACAGTACTGTTTGTGTAAATGCTTAAGCTAATAGATGAAGTTAAGACATAAACACTGCCATGCACTAAACTAAGCAGTTTCATTAAAAGCATATTAGTAATTGGAGCACAAAGGAGTCTCTTTAATTGAGTTTTTGAGGTGACTATCTTAATTTAGCTATGTCAGTTTAGCTGTCAGGATGACTGACCTGTGTCTAGGAAAGAACCAGTTATTGATAATCTGGCTACACAGTTCAGGAAAGTAAGGTATTTTTGTCAACTTCTGTTATTAAGTACCTATTATTAAACTAATTTCTATATACTATTTTCTAAACTTCTTCAAAAGATATTTACAAGATTTTATTTACTAATAAGTACAATGGAGGTAATTCTTTTTAGTTACAATTTTCCATAGTTCTTTAATTGGCAACTATTGGCAGATTTTTATTTTATTCATCTTCAAGAAAGTATGAGGCCAAACTGTTAAACAAAAGCAAAGTAGGAAATCAAGAGAATGTGTCTCAAGTTAAATTTTTTTGAATGATTTAATATTTGAAATTTTTAACTGACAAATAGAATTTGTTTAGTCGTTTAAGAGAAACTTTTTGAAGAAACCAGAATGCTGATTATATGTGATTTGTTTATTTGTATTTTGAGTGCCTTTACTAAAAGTGTACCTGTACATGTGTTATTCCAATTTAAGGTCCCTATTGTAAAGTAGAAAATACAGAACTTAATAAAGCCTAAAGTATTGGCCATTGTTTGAAAACTATTGCCAGTGTGATAACTGAATATTGATGGCAGCTGCTGTTAAGCTGCGGTGGTTTTAAACCTGCAGAGAGAAAATTCAGGAGTGTGTGGTTCAGTTGTGCCCACTCTTGCACATTACAAAGGGAAGTTAGATTTAAGCTCTTACAAAAGTCATTCAAATATTTGGATTTGAAATTCGATGTAAGTTGATTTTGAATACAAGTAACAAAAGATGTTTTTGTTTGTTTCCTGCAGCCCTTTTGGAAGCCCTTTCTTAACCAAGACACTGACTTAGTGGTACTAACTGGTACAGACTCGGACTGCCTTAAACCTCAAGTGTGTGCATTCTGTCAAGAGCCTTTCCCACCATCCATGACTTCCAGGGGGGATTTCCTTCGGCATCTTAATTCACACTTTAATGGAGAGACTTAGGGCACATTTGAAAACAGACATAGCAGGCGCTCTGTGATGCTCTGGGTTTGTAGTGCTGGAGAGCACTTGCTGTAAGCTGATGTAGGGTGTTTATAGAAGGGATTCACTGTCACTGATGTTTGAGTGTTTTCTAAACTTGTTACTTATCTTTTAAGAGAGATCATTTTGTATAAAACTAATTCATTGTATTCATGTTTACACTATTATAATAATTCAAATTTTTCATGTGACTTAGAGTTACATAATCATAATTTATATCTCAAATACCTACGCTTATTGTTTGGCTCATGAGATCTATTAAATTTGGTAATACCAAATGTGTGTAGGATTTCACTTGAATTATTAAATTATTTATGCTACAGCTCATGTTCTTTTAAGATACATAATATAATTTACAGAGAATAGCAGACAATATAATCATCTAAGTAAATATTGAATCAGACATCAGTTGCCCAGTGAAAATTATTTAAACATTTTAGATTATTTTTTTAAATAATGCACATGGTTTTAATTTTTACTTTGTGTATAGTAAAATTAAATATTAAATATTAAAATTTACATGTGTTGTGATAATAAAAGTGTTCTCTTTTTCCGAGGTAAATAAATAAATGATATTTGGGAAACGTTCATAAAATTTATGTCTCATAGCATTTATTACACATTAATAGGTCACTTTAAATTTTAAAATGATCTTTCAAACTAAGCATCCTAAAAAAATCTTTTATTGAGGACAAATGCAAAAGACTGTAAGGAGAATCCATATTTATTAATTTAGATTTAGAAATGTTCAAATTCGTGTTGAGAAATTTGCTATTCATTGTTAGCAGCCTGATTGATGGCCACTGGTCTCAAGACGTCTGCAAGAGGGTACCAAGTATGCAGTGCCGAAAAACTGTTCAAAATGAGACTTCCCTTTCATTCCTCTTGCTGTTTGGGCTTCTCTCCCCTCCCCACTCTATCCCCAAATTTTAAAAATGGTTGAGACACGGCTTCCATTTTATGAAGTAAGCATTGACTTGTAGCTTTGAACAGAAATGTAACGTCCTTGAGCAATGTCTCATACTGGGAGGTTTAGCGTGGGGGAATTTGAGCAAGCCTCTGTGCCCAGTGGAAGAATGGGAGTGGTGCCTCGACTCCTCAAGGTGCCAAGCATATCACAGTGATGTCTTCCTCACCAAGGTGACACAGCAGTTCTTAGGCATTCACTGGGAAAGGTTCTGAGGCATGGACATCTTTTCTGTTGCCACTAGGCTGAATGGAAATGCCTAGACAATTATCCAAAGACCCTTCTCAGTCCTAGACCCCTACCCTCCGTCCTAGCCTCCCCTCACTACACACACACACACACACACACACACACACACACCCCTCATAACTTCCCAGTATGTACCAGTCAGGATACACAGAAAAGAATTCTCTTTTTTCCTCTCCTATCACACAGTTGACATCTCACTGACTTGCTGAAGAACCTCAGCATCCCATGAAGTGACTCGGAATGGACCACTACCCCCTTTTCGGGCCATCCTTTCCTCAGCACTTTAGTAAGAGATGGGAATTTAAGATTCCAGCAGTAAGTACCCCAAGCTGCAACTTCTTAGGGCAGAGACCCTATTGGGCTGCCAGAGATGGAGCTTCTCTCCAGCTCTACAGAGATTGGCGGGAGCCACAGCTCGAAAGGTAGAATGGTCACCGGCCAGGTCTGTCCCTCTATCTCACTACTGAGCTGGTGCCGGGGCTGCCTCTAGGCTTCCGCCAAGCCTGGCCGGGTAAGAACAGCTCCCAGGTAAGAAAGCTACATGCTCAAAACGCTGAGTCTGGAAAAAAAAAAAAAGAAGAAGAAAGAAAGAAAGAAAACCACCCCTGCCGAGGCGAGGCAGTTGTGAGCGGGAAGCCTGAGAAGTGGGAGGTGAATGTCCTCGGGATGGCCCCCCCGGTGCAGCTTTCCCCGGAGGCTGAGGTTGCTGCCAGCGGGGACATCTGCTTTCTTACACTCCAGCCTGGCTCACCCCGCCCCCTCAGCCCCGGGTTGCGTGGTTATTTTACCAACACCGGGGGAGGGAGAGCTTGAGGAGGTAGAAAGGGGATGGATGGAAGCTTAAAAGATTTTCTTCCCACTCCCCCCGAGTCCCCTCCTTTCTTCTTCACATCTTTTAACCTTCAAGGTAAAGACTTTATAAATATGAAACAATAAGGGAGTCTGCCGGCTGGCTCGCAGGCCCGCCGTGGGCTGGCGGGACTGACTGGGCTGCCGGGTGCCGGCCTCGCTCTCT